CACAATATCACACACACACACACACACACACACACACACACACACACACACACACACACACACACACACACAAAGAAAAAGGCACTAATAATGTGCACACAATTGCAGTAGCATGCCCTGTTCTGCTCCTGTGAGCGCTATGTATACACATCACAGATACGTGCACAACACCACGCACAGGTGCACCGCAAGTATGCTCCTGAAACATTTCCTGGGTGCTTAGATGGACAACACAATTACGAGAGGTACTCTACCTTCAATCTAGAAAGAAGGTACAGAAATATAATTTCGACAAATTATTCCCCTCAAATGTAGATGAAAGAATGGAAATGAACAGGAGACAAGAGAAAGGACTCCAATCTTCCAGAGTCCAAAGAAGACATTTTAATATGCTCACTCCAGGAGGCGGGGGAATACCTGGGCAAAGGGTTGACATGAGAAACTACACAGAACTAGGTCATCTCAAAGATTAGCATGGTGCAAGATTAGGTGGAAGATAAACCTCAACTAGCAAGACAGCTCTCTGTGCAATGAACCTCTCAATTCACCACCAAATGAGCTCACACAATCACACACCATGCACGAAAGAGTTCACACAAAGTTCACACTGGAGGCCAGAGAAACGAAGGCACGGTAAGGGCAGTTTTAGATTTCCAACAAATTATTATACAAGCAATTAAGAGTTTCAGTCACAGGCACTCAACAGCGCAAACCCAAGTATCCAGTATCTCAACTCAGGTAAGTATCTCTCCCCAACCTCTTCTCTCTTCTCTCTTCTCTCTCGGTCTTCTCTCTGTCTACCACCTCCCTGTGTCTTCTCTCCCTACTTGCATGCACTCACACCCTCTATTACTCCAGGACCAACTCCGAATACACCCACTGATAGCTCTACTAACCCCTCTGAGGTCTACTACTAACTACTAGCACTGGTGCAGCTATAGATGCCTTCCCTCTACCAGCGCTGGGCAGCTGTGGCTGATCCCTCTCTCTCTCCCTCTAACAGCGCAGCTCCCTGGCTCAGCGCTCCGCCCCTCACAATAGCGCACAAGTGCACCAGCACTTCCACACTTCATGCAAATGAGCAATCTGCCGAATGAGGAGGCTGGCCAGTCCTTATATTGTCTTGGACTGAACTTCAACTCGTGCCAGCCTCTGCCTCTTGGGGCTTGACTTGGTTCCAGTACCACATCCCCACGTCCTGTTTGCTTTCGAATGTCAGGGCCTGGTAACTTTCCCGAATTTTCATTGGTGTGCTGCTGCTTGGGCCTTTGAGTCACAACTTTTCGATTGTGGCACATGGCTTTTGACTGTTGTTTGGGACTCCTGCCTTTGGGACACGACTCCTGCCTGTGAAGTGTCCTTTGCCCGTGGGATGTGACTTTCCAATATGACTTTTCATTATGAGACATGATTTTACCCCTGAGATGTGACTGTTTGTCGGGTGCTTGTTGGACTTGACTGCTAAGGTATCCAACTGTGACTTTTCTGAAACTGACCGACTTGGCCTTTCTTGGCCCAGGCATCTGACCCTGAAACTCGAATTTGGGGTCTGAATCGTGGAAAGGCCTTTCACTATCGCCGGCCTAATTTCGAGATCCTCTCCATTCCGATTCTGAAGTTTGCCCGGGTGAGGTACTGGTGGCTGAACCTTCCTGGCCCACGACACCAGCATCAAGCTTGCTCTCTCTGACTTTCCTTTACTGATCAGAGGCCATTTGGTAGGTTCTAGGTCCATAGGCACGCCAAAAATTGTGCCCAGTTCTTTTACTGATCCCCGTTCATTGGGTAGGTCCTAGGTTCATAGGCACGCCCAAATTTGTGCCCAGTCCAGTTGCACCATCTGTAGGCCATAGCGCCCCGTTCCTTCCCCCAAGTTCTTAGTGGCCAGTGTCTCCAGAATGGCACCCGCGTTCAGGCACTGAGTGGGCTAAAAACCAGTTCCAGGACCAAAATGTCTAATTAATAATTATTAATTATGTACACCGTCCAGGTCAAGCCAGTGGACCCTAGATGGAGTCCACCAGTTTTACACACCGCCCCAGGATTGGCCAGCATCCCTCAGCAGCCATGGCCGTGCCTGTGGCTCTTGTGTCAGTGGATGGTGGAGTCCTAGAGTCCTGTGCACTGGCCCAAGTTTTGATCACTGTCCCTCAAATAGCCATAGCTATGCCTGCGGATATTTTTGGTTGACCCCAAGGCATGGATGGCCTTGGTCTTAAAATGCTCCGACACACACACACACAAAAAGACAGCTGCAGCATATGCAGGAACCAACTGTGACTGACTGGCTTGGGACCACACAAGTCAGGCAAGAGTCCTTTGGTTAGTGTTTGTGGCCTTTAGGGTAGAGGGGGGAAATGGGGGTTAAATTGCAGGTAAAAAAACGAATGGAATGAGAGTCACCAGAGCAAGTTTGCTTTGATTTGTGGTACTGGGGAGAGGTCAGGTGAGGGATAGAATGGGTGCAAGGGATGGCTATGGATAGCATACAGAAACTGCAGATGTCAATTGCAAGTGGGTTCTGATTGTGATGAACGTACATTAAACAACCAAAATGTGAAAATGACAAAAGCACCAATGACTTGTACATGGGCAGTTTAACTGAGATAGTAGAGATATAGATTGTACAAAATTTGATCGGATTGAATGTGGAAGAGTTCCATCACGTTTCCTTTGAAGCTCACACACCTTAGCAAATCGAAAACCTGCACGATTCGTTGTAACCCATGCCAATCCGTTCCCATCAGCCGAGTCAGGCTGGCGATCAGATATGTCTCCATTGCTGAAGAGAATCTGCCGTAATAATGATGACCATGCGGAATGTTTCCGAGAATGGGCAAGAAGATGAAGCAGCACACCAGAAGGCCTGATGACCAGGCACCAGAGAAACCCAGAGGGGAGGGGGAGGGGAAAGAATTCACCAGAGAAGGAGAGGAAACAATCCAGTCATTCGCCCACACATGAGTGGTCCAGGATCGCTGAAATCCATAAGACACGGGTTTGACTAGCACACAATCAAGCACAAGCACAAGCACAGGTACAACAAGGGCCAAGCCGATGGAGGATCAGGGTCATGCATGGCAAATCCTGCAGTCCAATTTTTTTTTCTTTTTTTTTTCTTTTTTTCCTTTTTTTTTGAACAGGTCCTTAAGGTCCTGGCTTCATATCCATTCTGGGGAGCATCAGCCCGGTTCCTTTTNTTTTTTCAACAAAACAGGGCCTTGTGGTCCTGGCTCCTTCTATTCTGGGGAGCGTCAGTCCGGTTCCTATTCCACCGGCAAGTCAAAACATACATTACATTGAAGAACCACRCACGCTTCCTTCCGTCTGGCCGAAGGACCCCTGAGCAGCATTGATTGCTCCACCTTGATGGAGGATTGACTGTCAGCTTGCCGTGCTACACTCTTTCCTCTCAGACCTGGAACCCAGATCTGTCAAATAAGTCTATTCCTTCTAGAAAGAGGTTGCCCCTTGTCAAGCTAGCGGGTGAACATCCATTTAGCCATCCTTCTCATGAGCCACAGCCTCCCCTGTCCCTTCTTACCTGCCCTCCCCTTTTCTACATGTCACTAAAACCCTAGACCCTAAACCCTCGTTTGCTAACCATCACCACGTACGTTAACTTATTTTCTTTTGCTCCCTTTTAAGCCCCTCTCCATTTGAACCTTAAATTACTTCCATTTATGGTTGCCACCACTCCCTGGCCCAAAATGTTCTGATTGAAGCATTTCGTTATCTCTTCCTCTTGCTCCGGTCGGAAACATATTTGCTTCCTTGCTGCTTTCCACTGCGCCCTCAGATCCGTTTCAATCAATGTGAGGAATATCTCCCTTGCTTCCTGCTTGTGCATTGGCCGACCTTCGATCGTGATTTGGCACCAACGCTTCCAAATGGTCCATAGACAATATTGACGTATCAATTTAAACATATGCTTCTCAAAAGTCTGCCACTGTTTCAAAATTTGGAGGCCCAGTAGTATAGCTATCTTGGTTTCAGGGAACTTCACTTTTGACATCTGACCCCATATAGTCCTTGCTTCTCCCCATATCACGATTGCTTCCTCACATTCCATTAGGCAATGTTGCATTGTTTCTGGGATTCCCCCCTGACATACTCTGCATATCGCACTCTCCGGATTTCGCTGCCTCAAGCTTCTACGCTCATTCAACCACACATTAACAGGGAGTGCCACATGAGCTATTAGCCATTGCATGCTTCTGACTGAACCCAGACGTATGGCTGCAATGCTTGGCCATGGTATTTTACCCAATTGGTTGCTGGGAACCCCTACTCTTCTCTCCCAACGCTTCAGCAAATGCGGCATAAGCGTATGAGAACGTCTCCTCAATCTATACCCAATTATGGTGGTATAGTGCAGGATGTTGATTCTTCTTACTGCTCCTGTTTCTCCGCTTCTTATATTCCAGGCCCATTCTGCTGGATCCACTTCCAAATCTTGAAGTGGTACCGATGGATTGAATATTGTGTATTCATCTCTCCACCACCCTGACCTTCCGCAAGTACTGTTTGAGAATGACGATCGGCGCTTTGGATGCCATGTCTAAGAGGGAAGTAGTATTGGCCGGGTGGAGTATGGCATACTTGTCTGCATGGAGCCAATCCGGCCTAGAAGTATCTTGGTTCCAGACCCTGAACACTTCCTTGGGTTCGTTGTCATCACTCCATATGGCCCAGTCACCTTGACCCCACTGTATGCCTTGCTGTAGCAGTTGTACCCATCCTTGCGGTATGGCTCCCAATATGATCTCACGGTTGCCAGATAATCTGTGGCATCCTTTTAAGTGCGCCCTAAGTTCTCCGACTGTTTTCCATCTGTTTTCCTTTTCTTCCCAGATGTGCTTTACCTGCCACACCCCGTGCTCTAGCCACCTTCCCCACTTTGCATCCTTCACCAACAGCGTCAGGGGCTTCCCTTGCCCATCCTTAATGCTTGGGTTGCAGAATAAAGGTTGTATAAGTACTTCTTCTCTCATGTTAGGCTCCTTGACTTTTGCCGGGAATATATCTTTCCATAACTTGATCATTTGTCCCCAATAGGTTGTCCTTCTAGCCTCTTCCTCCTCCCCCTCATTACCCCATTCTTTTCTGCCCACCCTAGCCCAATTGCTACACATTACCCAAAACAAACCCGACATATTCTGAGGTGTTTTATATTTTGCCATTTGCCTTATCCTATGCAGCACTAGCGAGGTCCATGATAACTTGTGTTGGGATATTAGCCTAGTCACCCACTTGGTTTGGAGCGCTTTAAGTTGGGTATCTGGGTCTAGAATCCCCAGCCCTCCCTGATGCTTTGGTCTAGTGACATGTTTCCAAGCCACTTTGGATATGAAGCTTGAATTGGTAACTTTGGTTGTCCATAGATATCCTGCCGCTCTTCTTCTGGTGTCCATATTGACCCTGCATACCATAGCATGGAGAGGATGGACGCGTTGAGTGTAAGGGCCCTCCCATAAATGGATGTATAGACTGCCGACCAAGATCCCAGCTTAGCTAGTATTTTTGTCATTAGGTCCGCTGCCATCGACTGATGTGTCCCTGCCTCAATAATCTTAATCCCTAAATATCTAATGGGAACTCACGCCGTTGTCCATCTCCGGTTCCTATTCCCCCGGCAAGTCAAAATTGAATACATAATTGGACCCACTCATGCTTCCTTCCGTCCGGCCGAAGGAACCCTGACCAGCATTGATTGCTCCTGCTAAGGAGGATTGACTGTCAGCTTGCCCAGGCCACTTGTTCCTCTCAGGCTTCTATTCAGAGCCTGTCATCAAAATTGAATACATAATAATACCCACTCACGCTTCCTTCCGTCTGGCCGAAGGAACCCTGACCAGCATTGATTGCTCCTTCTAAGGAGGATTGACTGTCAGCTTGCCCAGGCCACCTGTTCCTCTCAGGCTTCTATTCAGAGCCTGTCAGATAATTCCTTGCACAGCGAGAACAGTGAAAGGGTCCGCTACAAGCTCTGTTGTTTGTCATTGTCCTTCTATGTGTACCCTGTTGTTGATCGCAATTCCGACCCTTCTGCCAGGTAGCCCGTGGGGCCAAATAGTCATTGTGGTATAGCCTGGTTTCTTCCATCTCAATCTGTTACCTACTATCGTGGCCACCTTGCCCATTAGCATCCATTCTCTCTTGAGTGTCTGCTTCCTGGTTGCTTGTCTTTCTGGTCTGTGTTGCATAGAGGTCGCTATTCTCCGCCATCTGCTCCTGATATCCGCCTCTGCCATGCTCAGTAGTAGAGACCACATTTCTTCCTTTGCCACCTCTTCTCCCTTGATTGTCCAGGTGCATCTGCACTTCCATATTACCCACAGTGCCAATTTCCTGAGCAAGAGGAACCAAACTTCCCTGCTGCCCTTAATGTTGCTGGGAGTGTTAGATAGCAGTAAGATAGAGAGGGGAAGGATGTTTGGGGGGTGTGTTGAGAACAGGGTCGACCACAGCTCCAGGACCTCCTTCCAGATCCATGTTGCTTCTGGACAGGATAGGAGGCAGTGAGGGATGTCCTCGGGTGAGTTGTTCTTGCACATTGAGCAGCATTCCGAGCTATCAGGGTCGGAATGCTTCCTTCTTGCATGTAGCCATTGCTTGACATGAAGGGCTGTTTGTGCTGTCAGCCATTGCATGCTGCTGATGCGGTTTGGACGAATAAGAAGGTATTTAGTCCATGGGATGGTGATGGGGGTCGCGGGGTCCAGGTAAAGGATGGTTCTCCACTTCTCCGCCAGCCTTGGGTTCAGGTCAGTGGTTCTTAGTCCGAGGTTATAACCGAACTTTACGTCGTCTTCTGTTATCGCCCTTGATTTCCTGGTGGTGTCCAGGTCCCATATCCACTCCGTTGAGTCGAATTCTAGGTCCTCGATGTTGAGCTCCGGCTGGAAGGTGAGCCAAGGTTTCCTGTGAGAAACTCTGACCTTTCTTAGAAAGAAGGTTTCGATTTGTTCATGCTATGGTGCTTTGTTCAGGGCCTCTAGTTCGTATAGGTTGTGTCTGGCGATGGGGTAGGAAATAAAGTTGGCCTGGTAGTTAGTTGGGTGCGGTTTGGACATGAACCAGTAGGCTATTGTTGGTGGGGACTGTGTGGTGAGTAATCCCCAGTCGCCTGGTTTCTACATGTGTGTCTCTTTTAGGAGGGTCATCCATGAGGGGGGGATGCTGTGATGAATTTCCGATAGGTATCAGGACAGCAAGTGACAACCCTTTAGGGTGGTGCGCAGATCCTATTCGTTAAGCCATTCTTGCCGGTCTTCGGATCACAGATTTTTGATCTGCCATACTCCTCGTCCTACCCATGAAAGCCTGTTGCTGGGTGAGTTCTCCTAGCGGACCTTTTGAGAAGAGCAATATTATGGGTCATATGGAGATCCAGGTGCATGGGGACGCTGTGCAACCAGAAGACAACGCATGAGGAGGAATGGAAGGAGACAAAGGAAATTGCAGGGACAGAAATAAGGGCACAATGGAGAAAGGAAATAAAGAAACAGGAAAGGCTAGTGGACCCCAGGAAAAGAAAGGCTAGCCAGAAAACCTTTGATGAAAAAGGGCTACTAAGGAAGAAAATAGCAAAAATTAGAAAGGGGTACCTAAATTTCAGAGGTTGGGACTCCACGAACCAGTGCGCGGACGACTCGAAGGAGGAAGAGAGGGAGATGGAGGAGGATCGATATGGGAACAACAAGAAGGAAGCAACTAAGGACCTTAGGAAAACTGCCAAAAGATGAATCCTAAAGAGGAACAAGAGAGGGATAAACCAGGCACGAAAAAATTCCAAACCAGGAGGGAATATGATCTGCTGACATGCACCGGGTAGAAGGATGCACATACTCCTGTTGATAAGGTTGGAAATACCTGGCAGAGAAGGGAAAAATACTTCAGAATAAAAAGGATCAGCATGAATAGTTGGCTGACAAGGCGTCAAAATGCAAAGGGCTGATTAGAGAGAGAGGGAGAGTCTAGGGTTTAGGGTTTAGCACTTTAGATTCCACTGACAGACAATACTAGACTTCAAAAATTCACGGGGCAACACGTGCAAAGAGATCGAGCAGTAACAGTAGACAAAGCAAAAAACCAATAGCCTATATCTAGCAAGGACTCCAGCAGCTGCGACTGTTAGGGAGACAGGCTTTTAGCAAGGACCACCACAAAGGGACCAATCAGCAGTTCGAACAGGCAAGGAAAATCCAACAGTCACGAAACTGAGAGGAACAGGCTGGTAGTAACACAAACAGGCAAGATCCTACCGTCTTCACCCGAATAGAACGCCCGGTCATTACAGCTGTATTTGGCACAACTTTCAGCCCAGATATGGCGATGATTACCTGGCGTTCTATTCGGGTGAAGACGGTAGTATCAAAACAAAGGCTTAGACGGACTAGCAGGCAAGGGTAGAAACAATGTAGTTAAGGCTAACTTAGGCAGGGGTGAGGGGTGGTACATCCTTCCTTCAAGAAGTAATCAATGCCGTCCTTAGGGCCTTCCCACCATAAGGGGGAGGAGCATATGTGAGTACTCATTGTAATTCCTTCTGACTTGCCAGTGGAATAGGAACTGGACTGATGCTCCTGCAAGCAGACTTGTCTTCGACTTCACTTGCAACATGCATACATACAGGTGCCGATGGCAAAGCAACTTTATCGAAGTAGAATCAGCAACAAGAGTGATATGGCGCAGCGCGCCCACACAGAAAACTTGGAGATACGGCTTTCGGCCAGGAACTCAGCTTAAGTCAACTTGTCACATCTTGCAGCTATGGCGTCTGAGTGCCAGTCTGAACTTCCATGTTCACACCATCAGACACACCCAACTTCACTCGCACACATATACACAAACACTAGGATCTACCTTGAATGTCCACGCACATATACACTACTAAGTTACTAACTAGTAACTCTGTCCCACTCGCAGCTCAGAAGGGTATGCTAGAGTCCTGCATGGGTGGTCCTATGCCCAGGCAGTCTTGGACATGGAGGCCACCCTCCAGGTCCAGTCCGGCTCCCAGAAGGGAACCAGATCCTCTTCCCACGGCCAGAGGAACGAAAGAGGTAGGCCTATTCATTGGAGTTTGAGGAAGAGTCTGCAGGCTCTGACCAGGGAGGAATGGCTCCCGCAGCTGGTCAAGATGTAGAATCCTTCCCAGATCCGATTGTCTTGGCTTGGGCCCAGGCACTGATGAGCTTCACCAAGGGCTCCAATCAGTCCCATGGACAAAGGAACTCCACTTCTAAGGGAGCTGGCAAACGCCCCAATGGACTGCAAAAGCAGACCAAAGTTTGTCAACTGTCCAGCTAATCTGCCAAAGTTTGTAGAGTCCAAAGGTGGGATCCTTCTTGCTTCTACCAGCATGCAGCGTGCAGCCTCGGTTTTCTTTTCTTTTGACTTGAACTCTTGTTCCACACTCGCCCAGGATAATGAACCGAACTGGCACCCCCCAGAAAAGAAGGGGCAGTGTGGGTGTTGTGTTTTTCTGAAAAAAAAAAAAAAAAAGCTGAGTACGGACGCCGCCCGGCCGGGCGGGGCCCGGGCAGGTTGCCCGGGCAAACCGGGCGGGCCAAAAAGGGGTCGTGCTGTGCTGGG